CAGTTTGTGAGTCAGCGATTGGAATTCATTTGGTTAACAACCCGGGTTGCGCTTCCGAATACGTTGACAGGGCGTTCAGCGTGCTGCACAGGGCACGGTCGGTTATATTTCTTAAGTCTTTAGTTCCAGTTTAAATGAAGCTTCATCGACCGACTTTGTGCATCCAGAAAGAGAACTTGCTTCGTTCTCTATGTCGTGAACATTTTTTCCTGATTTATACTCGCATGCAATTTATTTACACCAATTTGAATTATTTTAGTCGAGGCTCCTTATTTTACTTCACGTGTTTACCATTTGCCGTCCTGGGTATGACGATAAACTACATCTGCGTCCTGGGTAAGACGATAAACTACGTCCAGCAGCAAGGCCTCTGATCAGGAGGTTTTGAGGAAGGAGTTCCCAGGTCCGCCCTGATCCGAGGTAGTAACACCTGTTACGGTCGCAGCTATGAGTTAAGCCCAAAACTGGGGTAAAAACACTATGAAATTTTAAAAATAGGTTTTAATACCAGAAATACTTTAAAAAAATTATTACGAGCAATACATTTTTGAAAAAAAATTATAACCAACAATGATTTAAAAAAAATAAATATTACTAGCAATACATTTTTGAAGGGAAAATATTACCAGAAATAGATTTTTGAAAAACAAAATATTATCAGCAATAAAAAAAAATTTCGGCAATAAATAACCCATTGAGGTTGATATGCTGTAAAACAAAGCAAACCAAACCAATATATACTGAGATAGATAGATAGATAGATAGATAGATAGATAGATAAAAAATATTACCAGCAATAAAGATTTTGTCGGCAATAAATAACCCATTGCGGTTGATATACCGTAAAACAAACCAAACCGAACCAAATTTACCATTTTCAATTTCGCCGTTTTGATTATTGGTCATCAATGAATCTTTCTGAAGAAGAGTTGGATGAAAGAGGTGCCTTTAAAAGAATGCATTCCAAAGAATATATATATATATATATATATATATATATATATATATATATATATATATCCAGTTCCTATCCCACGAACGCAGGTGTTCCCCTGTTCCATCCTAGGCCCCACTCTATTCCTTATCTACATAAATGACCTTCCTGACGCCATAAATTCCCAAGCTGGCATCTACGCGGATGACACCACAATTTACTCCTGCCTCAAAAACAAATCTAGTGTCGCTGGCCGTGCGTCTCGAAAAGGACCTCCAATTGGTTGTGAACTGGGGAAGGAATTGGCTGGTCAACTTTAATGCTTCAAAAACAAAACTGCTCTCTATTAATCACCACAGAGATCTTTCCCTGTCCTCCATTAGAATGTCTGACGCTCAACTTCTCGTGAGCACCTCTCTGCGGCTGCTCAGTCTGACGTTGACTGCTGGCCTGAGATGCAACAAATACATTGAGTCAGAAAATCTTTCTCCTCGGAATCGATCCTTTAGATCTACAAATCACTCTGCATGGAGTATTGCTGCCATATATGGTTTGGAGCCCCTTCTGTTTGCCTCGGGGTTCTTGATAAGCTCCAGAGGCGGATATGCAATATAATTGGCCCTGTTCTGGCATCTCGTCTATAGTCACTCTCTCACAGATGCGCCGTTGCCTCTCTCTGTCTTTTTTTACAAATACTTTCATGGCAATTGCTCCGAGGAGCTGCATTCGCTGGTTCCCAGACTTCATGAATTCTAGCGCCCTACGAGGCTGGCATCCCGTTCTCATCCTTTCACTGTCGAAACTATTAAATGTAGCCGTCTCTTCTACTCCAATAGCTTCATGTCTCGCACCTCTCGCCTGTGGAACTCCCTTCCCTATTCCAGTTTCTCTGAGAGCTATAATCTCCAGCAATTCAAATGTAATGTCAATCGACATCTCCAATTGCCTTGATCTATCCCCTATCCTTCTCCTCATCTTTTCCTCTATCACTTCTATCTTATCTTGCTCAAAATCTTCTGTAACCCCTTGCGTCCTAGTGGCTTCCCGCCTTGCTTGGGGTGAAACGCTTATATATATATATATATATATATATATATATATATTGAAATTTTGGTTTCTGGCTAAAGTTTAAATGTGCATTTCCTAGTATTTTAGCCTTTCATCAGCTATTTTCAAAAAATAAATTGATTTTTGTCTTCTGTCAGTTTCATTGCGTTGCTCAAGTTAGAAAACAAGGACATTGGACTTATGGTACACTTACAGATATGGAAGACAGATCCTGGAGAGAAAAATGGTCTTGCCCGATATAATGAACCAACTTTCTTAGCTGCTGACCTAGCAATGGATACAATATAGTCTTTTCACTTCATCTCAGTAGAGAACCTGACAAGCTCTAAGAGCAGATATATCCGTTTATATAGGGCCTGTCCAAAATGACTGAACTACTTCCATATTGATCAGCAGTTCTGCCCAGAATCAGTTTTTTGCAGAGTGAAGGATTACACACAAATAGTGGATTGAAATTTGGCATTGTTCTATTCAATTTCTGTAAAAACAATGGCGTGGGAAGTGAATATGATCATTTACTGGAAAGTCCTTCACCTGATAAATTTTCGAAACTTGGTCTGTCCAAAAACATCCCTTTTACAAATAGTGCATGATAGAATAATTTGGTTTTGTACAGCAAGAAATGAAGAACTGGATCTGTGGCAATTACAGGAAATTTGAACATCCAGTGTTGGGATAAAGACAAAATTCAAATACGGTTCAATGTTTGTATTTGGAGTCCTCAGTATGACATCCGGCAACAAGGCTTCTGATCTGGAGCTTGGAGGTTTTGAGAAACATGGAACCAACTCTTGATTGTTGTTGTTTAAAGGTCCATCCTGACCCTGGGGAGGTAATACATGTTAGGGTACCAACGATGGGAAAATACTGAACCCCAAACAAAAACAAAACAATATGAAAGTATCAAAATATATATTTTATAGTAAAAATAGCAGCAATATATTTTTATATATAAATTACTAACCACACATATTTTACCGCTTTATATGGTCATTTTGTGACAAAGCCTATTTATAGCAAAATTACCAACATACCTATTTATAGTAAAGTTACCAACAAAATCAATTTAGAGTAAAATTACCAAAAATACATATAGGAAAATGACTATCGATATAGTTTATCTCTAGTTGGAAGTACACAATTACGTTCAAAATCCTCCATAGAGGTGTTGATATGCCGCTAAACAAAATCGACCAACCAACAATATTTATTTAGAATAAAATTAACAGCAATAAATTTTATAGTGGAATTACTAACAAAACATTTTATCAGGAGTTGAAGGCATACAGTTACACTCAAAATTTATTTAGTTGAAGTCATAAAATTGTGTTCAAAATATTTAGATTTTGGTATTATATAACCCATAGAGGTGTTGATATGCCGCAAAACAAATTCAACCAACCAACAATACATATTTAAAACAAAATGACCGACAATATATTTTATCTGTAGTTGAAGACATACAATTGTTTTCAAAATATATTTAGTTGAAGCCATAAAATTATGTTCAAAATATTTAGATTTCGGCATTAAATACCCCATACAGTTGTTGATATCCCGCTAAACAAAATGACCAACAATACATTTTATCTGGAATTGAAGGCATTTAATTGCGTTCAAAATATATTTAGTTAAAGTCATAATAAAAATACAGTTTAATAGTAAAAATACCAGCAATACATTTTTATATAAAAAGGACCGACAATACGTAGTTAGCAGAACATTTTATCTGTAGTTGAAGCCATAAAATCCTGTTCAAGATATTTAGTTTTCGGCATTAAATCAATTTTTGTTTAGCTATTTATAAACAAGTGAGTGCTGAAAAGTTCTTAATCTGATGAATATGTCCTTCAAAAAAAAAAAAAAAAAAATGAAATAGGAAAAAAGAAATTGAATTTAAAATTATTGCATGATAGAATAATTTGGTTCAGTACAAAGTAAAATAAAGTTCTGGATCTTTTGAAATTCCACAGAAGTTGAACGTCAAAATTCAAGAACGGTTCTTTTTTTGTATTTTTATTTATTCTTTTTTTTCCTTATTCCATTTTCGGCAGTTTGTAACTTACAAACAAATTTTGCAAAGCCAACTACTGCCACCAATATTTTGGTGCAAACAAAGCATTGACACACATTCAGAAGCTAGCCATAAACCTATTGATTGACCAAAGACAGATATTAAATTACAAAAGAAGCCATTCGAAGACTGACAACGACACGTTGCTTGCAAAAGCACATGAAATATGAAGAACATTTTTGACGATGAAATGAGGCCATTAATCGACCATAAAAGCAGTTTAAAGATGAGAAAAGATTCTAGCTTTCCGGTTTACTACTTTTCTTTCTTTAATGTCTTCAGCAAACGAGGTGGACTAAAGGAAATCTTAACAAGAAGCCATCAGTTCCATTTCTCTGATTAATAGCACCACAAGTCGATAGGCAACAAATGCAGCCATTTTAATTTCGAACATTCAAAACAGAATAAACTAAAAAGAAGTGGGGTATGAAAATAGACATCAAACTTTTTTTTTTCTTTTTCACGTTGATGGTCACCCTTTACAGTGCCTGAAAATCATTCGTGGTAAAGAGTTACACTATTTATATTGTTCGGACTGTTATCCTCATTCATCCTGTCTAGAAGAGATTTTCTAATATTACGAATCAATTTAGACGCTAAGAATCGGTTTTAAATTTTCAGAGTTTATGATATCCTTCTTACTTTCGTGACTTATAATAATCACCCCACCCCCTACGCTTATTAAGTAAGCAAAATACAACCGCCGGTCATCTTCAGCCCGGATATTATTTATTTTCATAGAAGAGATTTCAGTTTTAAAGAAACGATCATTTCGATGTAGATTGTAAAACTGCTTTCAGATTATTTACAATATCTATATTGTTCGGACTGCCGTCCTCATCTTTGTTGATTGGGATTTCGAACCGAACCCTTTATCTCGTCCATCGGGGCAGTCTGTTCTAGTTCAACATGCCAGATATCTCATTATCATGAATCTCCATTTAACTCAACACTCCAAGTTATGTTCATCTTTGCTGTAGCTAGGTTAGGGTTAAACTCACAAACTTTTGGGGCTAATTCACTGGATTACTTCAACCGACGCGTTTATCCTCTTTTATCCATGTGACTCTTGCACCTGGAACAAGAACAATCTACCCCAGTGGAAAAAAGAAAGGGTTCGATTGCAAATCCCAAACTCCTGAAAAAGGCCGGAGCGTACAACGGCCGGAGCGTACAACGGCCGAAGCGTCGTGAATATGGCAACAAACATTAGGACAACAGTCCGAACGGCGTAAATAATGTAAATTATTGCAATACTTCAAGTCAAAAATATAGACATATGTTCTCTAGCGGCATATCAACCTCTATGGGTTATCGAATGTCGGGATCTAAATATTTTGAAGACAGTTTTATGACGTCAACTATAGATAAAATTATTGCTCGTAATTGTACTATTAAAAGAGACGGAACACTAGGGGCAGTTGATACCTGTGCTAGCACAAAGTCACAAGTCATCATGCCCGAGGGTTTGAGTGTGCTGGTGTTGTTCAGGGCAACACGCTCTATCCCAGAAACTGTAACTAAGGTCTGCTCAGCATAGTTGCAGTATAAACCACAAGTTGGCTCTGTGGATGTGAAAACACAAATGAGCCTGAGCGAACGTCTGCAATAGGGATTGCTTAGCCGCCCTAGGGGACGGGTACCCACGAATACGAGTGGCCAGCTTTTATATATATAGATATATATATAGATATTATGAAATGGACGAAGTCCGACAATTATTTTAATATATCTATTATTTATACGTTATT